CCCCAAAACCCCAAAACCCCGCATAACAGAATAGAGAAAAAATCGAGAATTAATGATAAATACATCTTTATAATTAATACTAAGAATTGGTAAACTTTTGGAGTATTTAATCCTTAATAACTTAACTTTGAAATAAAATGATTATATTACAAAAAATTAGGTCCATTGACATTTTTGGACATGAAGTTAGACTACTTTATAAAGGAGATGAAACTATGAAAACGTTACCTGGTGCTCTAGCTACTCTTGTCTTTGCAATAATAATGATTCTTTACTTAATTTTTCAACTGCAATCAATCGGGCAAGTATCTCAAATATTGTATCAATAAAAATACCTAACATTAGAAGATCAGGCTTTTAACCTCACATCAGATAATTTTTATCTAGAAGTTGCTGTAAGTACAAATAATACTAATGAGGGAAGGCTTGAGGCCAAGCTATCTTTGCTTTTAGAACTCTATGTAACTACCTTTGATGAATAAGGAAAGGAAAAAGATATTTCACGAGTAGTGCTCATCCCTTGTGATATATAAAACGATAGATAGTAAGATGGATTTTATAGTTTTTGTCTTCTAAAAGGACTTTCTATATCATTAAGGCAGCGTAAAGCCCTACTTAACGTTTATATGACAAGATGCTATTTCCAAAAATTACTAGAGTACAGCCCATGGTCAACATCGTGCCAGGCGAACTGGACAAAACTTTACAATTTTGTGAATGAACACGAATTCTAAATAAGATTTATGACAAAATACTTTGATTAGAATGAGAATGAATTCGTCTAAACTAAATATTATAATAGCTCTATCAAATTAAGCTCATAATACCAGACTCAAGTTGTTTATAAGGTCAAGAATAATGTGGTTTTAACAAGTTAATCATTACTTCATGAGAGCTTAGATCTATTTTAAAAAAAGTTTATAAGCTATTAGCAAGCTTAAGTAAATAGAATACCCTTTAATGAAACAAGAAAATGTTTTCTAGATGTTTAATTCGAGCTTGATGGTGATAGCTAATAGATTAAAATTAATCGAATTAATCTAGTTCAAATATTATCAAGTGTTGGAGGGTTAGCAGGAACTATTTTTGCTGTATTCAAGTTTTTTATTGAGCCTATTTCGACTTTTATCTTCTATAGGACAATCATCAAGAAGACTTATTTAGTTGATTCCAGCATTTTAGAAGATAAAGAGAATCGCTAAAATGACGATGATAAGTAAAAAAAGAAAGATTAAGACATAGATAATAATAAAGATCCAATTCAAAATAGAAAAGGAAATAATCTATAGGATAAAAATGATGATAAAAAAGACGTTTAATCCTTCTTTTTCTTGATATAAAAGCTACTTCATAGAAATCCATTTTCATATCCTTTGATGTTTGCGTTTAAAACATATATTAAAAGTTTAATCTGTTGCAAAAAGAAGTACATTCATCAGTAAATATATAATACTGGGAAAGATATGATCGATAAACAACTTGATATTGGTATCATTCTAAGAGATTTGAGAACCTTTAAGATGACAAATAATCTATTGATCAATAAATTCTAGAAAAAGATGATACCTTTCTTACAGCCTTATCTATTGAATAAAAAATTAGAAAGTAAATAATAGAAAGAAAAGGAATAATCTTAGTAAAGCAAAGAACTTATATTGAAAAAATTCTAATAAGAAAAAATCTCAAATTTAATTGAATTCTTCTCAAACTACCAGAATAATCGTCATGAAGTTGATAAAGTTATGTTCGATTAACTTTTGAAGGATAAAGAGAAAAATTAACACAGCTTAGAAATTCAAATGTACTCTGGTATCCTCAGGTAATACGTTGTTAACAATTTGAAAGACAAAAAAACAGTAAATAAAAAGAAAAACGATTAATTCTCTCAATATTAGTTTAATTAAAATCCGATAATAGTTTAAAACTGGAATTATTAATCTGGAGTAGTTTATTATGGAGTCTAGTAGTAGAATTATGCCCAGAATGATGTGGATTTAAAATTCTAAGTTCCTAATGAAAGCAGCTCGCACAGATTAAATAATGCTGCTGATAATATGGAGCTATTAGAGTAAGAAATTGCTGAAGAGGAAAAGGTTTCAAATAATAAGATACCAAGGATAAGTATGATTGATAAAAAAGAATGAATTAAAGTGATTTCTAATAACATAAGATTTAAACCAACATGAAAACGTAGTAAATTTTGTTTTGATTTAATAGATTTCAATACTATATATTTTCCAAAAAGTAATCCTGGTGGGGTTTTGGGGTTTTGGGG